AGGTTTCAAGCAGGCCAGCTTTTGACATCTACTAAATGAATCTCTCTCAAATATTTGCTTGGAATCTACACATTCTGCACACAATGACCTTCACACAAACATGGGTCTCATATTTCTGCCATGCAAATGTAGACTTTGAAGGAATGGAAGCAATATTGTTTTACCTATGGGATATTTGGGTTTTAATCAAGAGGTTTTGCAATGACAGCTTATAATGAGGCAGCTGGTATTACCAAAAAAGCCATATGGAACTATCATAGTGCTGCTGCAAATGGTATCAATTAACTGGTTCATTTTCAAAACTTTCATTTAAGTGAATTTGATCACAGAGGCCTCAGGAAAATAAACATAGAATTTTATTGGGGGGGAGCAGGATGGCAGAAACATGGAAATAAAAATAGATTCTATCTTGGAATTAAATTATAAAAAATAATAAATGAAGGGAGATAGTCACATCTAAAAACCTATAATAAGAGATCTAGTTTGAATACAAACAGCCTATTTATTTCATTGATTTATGAGTATAAGCAGTGTAAGTTAGACTTTCTATATGTGAGAGGATTTAGATGTCTTTTTAATATCTTCATTAATCTAAGACAAGTTTTAAAAACTGGCAATAGTAGCAGTACTCTTGGGGGAATAATCAATAAATTCCCCCAAGAGGAGAGATACTAAAGGTAGTTTTGAGAACAAACAAACAAATCCCTCCTTACTTTTTATGATTATGCCATAAACACAATGTTTAAGTCTAATTTTCATATCTTTTTAAAAAAGAAACAGGTTGGATAACAGACCTCAATTTGTGAAAGTTCTGAGGCCTCTTAATTAAAAGGGTTCACAAATGATTAACAACACACATGAAATTAAAACTCTCAAGCTGAGCAAGCATATTAAGGAATGCAGTCTTCAAAGGAACAAGTCACACAAAATTGGTGCTGAAAATACCAAAAGTGGCTATTGAGGTGGGATTCCTAAAAACTGAGATTTTGTTTTTCCTTACTATTTTATTTTCAGTCCTTTAGATTTTGTAAAAATAAATTATGTTTTTAAATAAGAATAATATTTTCAACAGTTAGATATAGAAGAAAGAGGATTGAACTCAGCAGACTGGGGCTCCAGCTCCAGATCATCCATTAAACCAGTTGCAATAGGTTGGACAAGTCACTTAGAACTGCTAAGACTCAGGGATTTTGAATATAAATTATGAAGGTATCAGATGACCTCTAAAGTC